CCTGCCCAGCCCCGCCTCTGACCCCCCACCCCTTGGCCCACCGAGCACAGCAGCCTGCCCTGAACACTGGGGCTTGAAACCCGAAACCCGGGCGTCCTTGACCTCGCGCTCCGTTTTGACCCCAGAGCCTGCACCTGGTTGTGGGTCCTGTGGATGCCCAGCAGGAAGCAGAGCTCTGCCACGCCCAGGGCGGCCGCTACGTTGGCACGGATCCCGCGCACGTTGGACTTGAGACTGCGCAGGCTCAACAGGACGGCCGCGGCCAGCAGCAGCGCGGCCACCGACATAGCCATGACCACGTGCGTGAACACCGCCAGCAGCTCCAGGTCGCCCTCCAGGCGCTGTGGGGGCAGGGGTGGTTAGCGGGGTGGCGGGCAGAGTGCCCTCCTCGTCGTCCCCTGGGCCTTCACTCCCCCAGGGCCCTGACTGGCCCCCACCTCACGAGGGGAGGCATCCATGAGGACCCCAAAGGTGCCGGTCCTACTGCAGCGACACCGCGCGTGGGAGCCGTTCCGGTGTACCAGCTCGCAGTCCCGCGCTGTCCACAGGCCGTGCTGCTCCGCCCTGCAGCCACAAAACAGCCAGACCTGCCATCCCCCGGAGAATGCCCACTGCCGGGTGGGGTCTGCCTTGGCCTCCCAGGGGCTGACAAGGAGACCGAGGGCTTCTGAGAGGGGGGTCCTCACAGGCCAGGCGGGTCCCACTGCACGCAGATCGCCTTGCTGCGGTTGGCTGTCTGCAGCAGGCGAAAGTCCAGGCTGATGGGGGATGCCAGGGGGCCCCTCAGGAAGCTGCGCCCGTGGAACACGGCCACGCTGACCACCGGGGAGTTCATGACAGGATTCTGGGGGATCCTGGGGAGACAGACACCTGGCCTTGGACACTGGCGCCCTCCTGAGCACCCCACCAGCCTGTGTTCATAGATGGAGTCAGCGGGTACCAGTAGCTCCCATGGAGCTGAGCTGCCTCTGACTGCCCTGTCGCCCACCCCCATCTGACCGGCCTGATGAGCCTGGCTGCTCCTGGCTCTGGGGGTGCTTATGCACCCCACCTGTCTGGTCCGTCAGCCCGCAGTCCCAACGCTGCACACAGTCCAGGGAGCTGCACCTGCAGGAAACTCAGCGAGGAGAAGGCCCCCAGGGCTGGGCCCTAGCTCACCTGCCCTCATTTAAGAACCAAAAAAGCCACACACACACACAAAAGAACCAAAAAGCCCTGTTGGGCTGGAGAGAAGCCCCTAGGAGGAGCCCCGTCCACCGTACCTTGCACCCCTGCGCTCCGTCTGGAACTGAGCAGGGAGCAGCCCCCCCAGGGTGCGGTATACAAGGAGGATGATGATGGAGATTCTTGGTTCAGGCTCAGGCTCCTGGGGGGCTGGCGTGGGGGCCACATTAGGGATGGTGGTGTTTTCTGTGCTGCTGCTGCTGGAGGGTGGAACTGCCAGAGGGGAGTAAGGGAGGGAGGGAGGGGCCGCTGTGAGAGCCCTGTTTGGACCAACCCCAATCGCCTAGAATTAGGGAGCTGGGAAGCAAAAGCTCCCTGGAGGGGACCTGGTCTCCCCAGGGCAGGACCCTTAGTATTCACGCTCTGGCAGGGGTCACCATGGCGATGGCACGGTGGGGTCTGTGGGAAGGGGTGTGGGGGCCTCACAGGGGAGCCTGACTCTTGGAGGTCTGGTCAGTGGGCAAGGAGGAAGTGGCTTGAAAGGGCCAGGGCACGGGACCCGGGTCACCACGGGGCTCTCACCGTCGGGTGGGAACGGCCGTGGGGACTGGGAAGGCAGCAGCACATGGGTGTGAGGGTCCCAGGCGTCCTGGCCCCGGAAAAGGTTGCTGTGGTAGCGGGGGTAGCGGCGGGCCCCCCGGGTTGGGCTGGGGTGCTCCATGCGGTCGATACTGAGCACTACCAGGAAGAAGAAGGGTGAGACCCCTTCAGGGTCTCCTCCCTAGAATGAGGGTCACACTCCCTCCTGCCTGATCCTGCGTCCACGTGCCACGGCCCACAGCCCCCTTGCCAACACCACAGAGCCATCCCTGCAAGTGCCCACCTTGCCCCAGTAGCCCCCAGCCTCCTGACCCTCCACGTCCTTGCCCGTTACAGCCCCATGCCCCGCCCACCCCTCGCCACGCACTGATATTGGGCGTCACCAGCCCCACGGGGTTCAGGTAGGTGTGTTCCATATTCCTTGCGAGTGTGGCCGTGTACTCCTCCAGGTGCTGCACCAGCCCTGCGCTGCCCAGGGAGCCCCCGGGAGCCCGCTGCCCCAGGGCCGCCCACAGAGCACCGGTCTCTGGAGCAAGCAGTGCGGAGCCGGCCCACAGCAGGTTCTGGAGGTGGGAGAGGACAGTCGGGCTCGGCTAGCAGGCAGGGGGTGGGAGGGGATGGGGTTCAAAGGGGCCTACTAGGCAAGGGAAGAGGGGGAGCCGAGCTAGGCATCAAGGCTGGGGGGGGGGCGTGTTGGGAATCAAAGGGCGTAACCCCACCTCATTGAAGTGAGCGTCCTGCGTGGCTGTCAGCCCGAAGCCCTGCTGCTGGTTCTCAAAGGCCAGCAGGTGGGCCAGCAGGCGTGCAGTGACTCGCACATCTTGGCTAAAGTAATAGTCATTGTGGCCGGTCACTTCCCGCAGCCGCTGGGCCAGCTTCTTGGCCTCTGTGGTGTCCAGGGATGTCTTATTCAGCTCAAGGCCATCCAGCTGCGGCGACAGGAGTGTGGTGGTCGCTCTTACCCACCAGGCCCTTCAAGAGCTGGGGGATGCCTCCTGGACCTCTGTTTCCCAACCCGCCCTCGGAGATGTGGGTGGGGCCTCACCAGCAGGCTGAGCTCCCGGAAGGTGGGAGAGGTACAGTTGAAGAGGTCAGGCTCCAGCCAGCCCCGGTCCTCGTCACACAGCCGCACAGCAGCACCTGGGAGGCAGGCAACTCTGCATGAGGCCTGAGGCCTGGACAGTGTCCCTGAGGAGCTGACCCCTCCCCGCCCCCAAGCCTCCCTTGTCCTAGGGGCAGCCCTGAGATAAGCAGAGGCCCGAGATAAACACACAGACACGCGTAGTTCCTTCACACCCCGGCAGGTATGCTGACAAAAATGAGGTCTTCCAGGAATGGTGGGACAAGAGAGTGTGTGTGTGAATGTGTAGTTTCACGCAGTTTTATGGGCCTCCCTGACCCTTCCCCTCCTTTGTTATCACCTCTCCCCTTATCAGAACCTGGGGCTGGGATGGGGGATTGAAAGAATTGGCCTGGACCTTAAGGGAGGTCGTTGCCACCAGCCAGAGGCCTTGACCTGAGTGCAGAACCTTCCCCGTCCCCAACAGACTCGACACGTGCACAGGCACAGAGAGACACACACGTGAGCATGCGCACACGCCAACCTCTGCCCAGCCACTGCACAGACCACAAGCAGCAAGAAGCCAAAGCAACAGAGCAAAGTGCGAGGGCCTCAGTAGGGAGAGAGGCCAGCAGGGGCTGGCAGGTAATGGGGAGAAGCCTGTAGGACGTGGAGAGGGGTCTGCAGGGATCTCAGGAAGGGACCAGGGCTCTGCAGGAACTGCAGGCAATAAGGGGGGTGGGCTCTCTGGGTCCCTCCAGGGACCTCAGGGAGCAGAAGTAATTTGAGAGACCTCGGCTGGCTGCAGGGGGTTGGCGGAGCCTCAAGTGGCGAGAAGTTAGTGTTTACAGAGACCTCAGAAGGCTGGCCGAGAGGGGGCTGAAAAAGCTCTGGCAATGGGAGGGGGCAGCACACCTGAGCAAACACGTACCCCTTACCTGTACCCCGCAATCCTGCCCAGAAGCCAAGAGAAACAGACGGAGGCTAAGTGAGGGCGTGCCGAGAGCCCCAAGGGAGTTAGCAAGGGCAAGGGCCCCTAAGGACCCCCACCCGACTCCCCTCTCTTTGCAGAAACAAGGCCACCCAGCTCAAGCAGAGGGGTTGCTCCAGCCCCAACTAGTTCCCCCCTCAGCGATGCCCCTGATACTCAGTGATACTCACCCAGGGCCCCCCGGGGACAGGGCACTGTGGCCAAGATGCCAAACTTGGTCTGTGGCCACCACACACCAGCTCTCAGGGACTTGGGGCACGCATCATAGAGCACTGTGGGAGAGGGGGCACTGAGCCAGGTGGCCAGGAGTAGCACCGGGACCAGGAGAGGGACCCTCACCCACTGCCTGGGTGGTCACCCCTTGCCCACCTCTCCCTCGTTGGCCTCAGGGAAGCTGCCTGCTGGGACTTGAGGTCAGTCCCAATCTCTGAAACAGGAGAGCCGAGCACCAGGGCAAATACAGGCCTCCCGGGGCGGAGTAGCTGCCCTCAGGAGAACACTTCCAGCGCCCCCATGCAAAGAGACCGACATGGCATTGGTGATCAGGTGGCTGCATGCTAGGGCCAGATCTCTGCAGGGAGCTGGGTGGGGACTGCTCACCCCGGCAGCCACTGGCTGTCACCTCTGCAAAGGGACTGTCGCAGCTGTTGCACTGGCGGCCAAGGGCTCCTGGGCGGCAGGGACACTGCCCACTGTGGGGGGCACATGAGCGAGAGGTGGAGCCCACAGGGTAGCAGTCACAGGGGAGGCATGAGTCGCTGCCCCGAGGCCGGTAGTGAAATTCCTATTGGAGGACAGGTCAAGGGCCTGAGGTCAGAAGTCGGCCTGGGGGCGGGGGGTGGGGGTGGGGGGGGTGTCTCAGCATAGGGCAGGGCGTGGGGAAAGAGTGGCGACAGGGAACAGTGCTCCCAGGCCAGAAGAAAGAGTGGGCCTCTGATGGAAAAGGAGAGTCAGAGGCCAAGAAGGAGAGATGTCAGAGGTCAAAGGCGGCTAAGGCCCAAGTCAGGGGCAGAGGTCAGAGGTCAACAAGCTGAACGAGGATCACGGATCATATCCAGGGAAGGGGGTAACAGGTCAGAGGTCAGGGGGCAGACACACCTTGCAGTGACATTGCCCGTCTGTTTTGTTGCAGTTAGGGTCAAAGCCTTTGTGAACGTCACAGTTGCAGGGGCCACAGGTTGGGCTCCCCCACCAGCCCCTAGGGCACTGCTGGTCCATCCTGGGGGTGGACAGCCCGATGAGATGCCTCCGTATCTCACCTCTGCTCTCCCCTCCTGCCCCCCCACCCCATCACCTCAGCCTCAGCCCCCAGCTCCTCACCTGTGCTCACAGTGGTGCCCAAAATAGCCTCCTACACAATCACAAGTATAGCCGTGGGGAGCTCCTGGGAGGTGCCGGCAAGAGCCCTGGTTCTGACAGGGGCTCAAGAGGCAGGCATCCACACAGCCTGGGCCGTAGTAACCTGCGAGTAGGGTGGGAGAGGTAGGATCCTAGCCCACGGAACAGGGAAGGGGGCGGGCACCCACTCTTCTGCGCTCCCCCCTCTTCCAGGCTCTCAATCGTCACCCCAGGCACTGGGCCCCTGCCTGGATCATCCTTCCCTGACCCTCTCGAGGCCCCACCTGGCTGGCAGGTGCAAGAGAAGGCCTGCCAGAGATCTCGGCAGTCAGCATGGGGAGGGCAGGGCGCAGATGCACAGGCGTCCGTCACAGCACAGCCAGGTTCCACATTCGCTCGGTGGCTGGGAGGGAGCAGGGCCGGGGACCCTGAGGGCGTGGAGCCAAGCCATACCCCCTGTGGGCACAGCCAGCAAAAGGTGAGGCCTACATCAAGGCCCCCACAAAGCCAATCTGGTCTGATGTCCCGACATGCCGTCTTCCTCAGACCCCCCAGAGCTGCCAGGCTCAGATCCCCGTTCAATCCCCTGGCCTTTGTTGTTGTTGTTAGGGGCCAGCCCATCCACTCTGACCCCCGGCGGCGCGGCGGCCCTGTGCACAGCAGAACACTGCCAGATCCTCACAATGGTCCCTGTGCCTGGGCCCCCTGTGGCAGCCACGGTGTCAAGCTGTGTCATTGAGAGTCTGTCTCATTTTTGCTGGTGGTACCCCTAATTGTCTTGTCCCCGGTAGAGGCCCCTAATGATCCTTGATAATCTAACTTCCAACACCACGGAAAGGCTTACCCTCCCCTTGACAACCGTCATTTGAACAGAGCTTGTTCAGCTCCCACGGAGCCCCTGAACTCTAACCCTTGACCCTAAAGGCCCCTTTATCAGGCTTCCATGCTGACCCCCACCTGGATACAGCCGACCAGTCCCTGAGGGACCTGCTCCTCACTGCTGGGGGGCAGTCCTCCCACGTGGAGCCGCTTGACCTTCAAACCCTGCAGTTCATTCCCCACTGCCACAGTGCCCTGGGGGAGGGAACAGGTCAGCACAGACACCTACCCCCTCCTAGGGCAGGCCATGGCCTTGTCTTTCTCTGCCCCCCATCCCCGGGGAGGGTGCTGCAGGGGCATGGAAGATGAGGTGACAGGAAGGTTTCATTCCAGAGAGGACCTTGAAATTCTATGATTCAGACCTTGGAGGAGGGGTCCCTGGCTTGTCCGGTGGATTCAGAGCAGGCATAAGAGGCGGGGGCTTGGGGGGGAGAGGGGCACATCAGGGGAGCTGGACTACTAGAGGTGCAGTCAAATGACAGGGGTCTGGTTGGCAAGCTGAGAACAGAACATCCCAGGGTCAGAGGTCAGACCTGGAAGAGGCTAAAATCCAGTGAGACCATGAGGACATGGTGACCCCGCCGGCCACCTGGTTCCTCCTGCAACTCCAGCCGCAGATCATGCCACCGGCCGTCACTGACAGTCACCTGGTCCAGGAGGAGATGGGCAGCCCGGCCCGAGCTCCTGGTCACTGTTATGGACAGCAACCCTCGATCCAGCTGCAGGCAGAGAGGCACAGCCACCGGGTCAGAGTCCCACGCTGGGCTGGGGCCGGAGTGTGTCCAGCAGTGAAATCAGGGTGCTCGGAGGCTAGGGGCTCCAAGGTGGGAACAGTGGGGCCAATGCTACACCCAGTATTGAGTGAGCTGTGCCAGGGGCTCCTACTCTGCTGGGAAGTGGTCAGAGGGTAGATCAGGACCAGGGGCATGCATTGGTGCAGCTGGCTCAAGAGCTGTGCTGGCAGCCTGCACCTGCTGAGGCTATCAGGGTGGGGGCCAAGGAACAGGGTCCAGAGCGGGCTCAAGTGAGGTCAGCACTCCTGGCAGAGAAATGTGCTGTGTGGCTGGGCCTGGACCCACAGACCTTGAGAGGTGAGGGCCCAGGGGTGGGTCTGGGAGGGCAGACACACCTGGCAGAGAACCATGCTGCGTGGCCCAGCCTGCACTTGCATGAGGACTCCCTGTGTCGCCCGAGTCCGAAATGCTAGTCCCAGGTACCAAGGCACAGATACGGTCATGTCGCTCCCAAAGTCCCAGCTCAGCGTGCCGTTGCCACGGAAACGGTAAGCATGGGTCAGGGCTGAGGAATAAGAGGAACTCGGTCACAGGCCCCACGCCAGGAGCAGACCTTACTTACGCTGCCTGCGACCCACCCTGTGCTGCCCACTCACTGAGCCGACAATCTTTGCCACCGAAACCCACGGGACAGTCGCAGACGTAGCCACCCCAGCGTTCTGAGCAGAGGCCACTGTTCTTGCAAGGGCTTGAGTCACAAAACCGCAGCTTAGCCTGGCAGCCTGGGAGAGGAAAGCACACAGGAAGGGGGGGTTGAGTACTGGGCAGGCCAGAGGGTGCAGAGAAGCCGAGTGAGGCCATGATTTCAGCCCTGTGTTCTCTCTGTCCCTCAAGACCAGGCCAGGATTCTGGGTGGCCTCCCTGGAAGGAGAGGTACCTGACAGCTGACTAAGCTGGCTGGGTGAGTGAACTTGGAGCAGAGATATGAGGAGGGGGCTTGGGGAGGGAGTGGAGATAAGCTGAACTTTTGGGATCAAATGACAGCAGTCTGGTTGGCAAGCCAAGAACAGAACATCCCAGGGTCAGAGGTCAGAGCTGGAAGAAGCTGAAACCCAGTGAGGCCACTGGGGAGGGCTTGGCAGGGAGTGAGCCCCAAAGGCAGTACTGTGGCGTGGTGCTTATCATGAAAGAAACCAAAGGTGAAGGCAGACCTAGGGTCACCCCGATAGCCCTCCATGCCCACCCAGAAAGACACAGGCTGTGGGTGGGACTGGTGGGAGGCACAGGCCTACCTGCCGTTGTGCCATTGTTGGCCACAAAGGCCGCCATGTCCACTCGGCGGCCATCAATGTGCAGGTCTCGCATACAGCCGACGAAGTCCTTGTGGGACACGGGGAAGTTCTCGGGGAGGTTGGGGACACCCCCCAGGAGCAGGGGGCCCGTCAGGTCCAGAGACCTGGGGGTCAGGGGGCCAGGTCATTGGTGGGACTCGGGATGGGGTGGGGTGGCTCCTGGGGGCTGTCGGGAATAGGGAGTAGGACCCAGAGGGGATGGTGATTGAGTGCAGGGGCATGAGGCCAGGCTGGAAAGGGAGTGAGGGCACCCCTTCAGTTGTGGGAGCACAGAGAGGGGCTTGCGGTAGGCTGGTGGTCTGGGGAAAGGTGAGGGAGCTGGGGTCGAGGACTAGAAGGACGGAGGGGTTTGGTGACTACGATAGGGAACAGAGAAGTAAAGAGCACGAAGGCTCAGTGTGAGGTTAATGGGCAGGGTTGGGGAACTAAACATTTGGAGGGGTGTGGGGGGATAGTCAGGGGAGAATGCAGAGCCAAAGGCTAGGGTGAGGTAAGCTTCGAAGGTCTTAGGTTAGGAAGGGAGAAGGGGAACCTGGGTGTCTGGGGGAGGGAGATGGGGAGCTTGGTGGGCTGGAGTAAGGAGTGGGGTCTACTTAGGGTAGGGGTCTGACAGGCAGAGGGCACGGGAACCAGCGCTGGGACCTCACTTCTTGGAGCTGGTCTGCATGCCAGCGGCTGCACAGGAGTAGTTGCCAATCTCGGCCCCAAACTGCAGGGCCACAGCCACGTCACAGTCGTCCATGCTCAGCACTGCCACCTTGTCCTTAGAGGGCCCCTGAACACCCCCCAGAGCATCTGTCCGGGGCTAAGACCCAGGCATGTCAGTCAGCAGGGCCCCTAGAGGGAGCCCCCCTCCTGAGAGGCAGCACCTGCTCCCCCAGCTCCCCCCAGGGCCCATGCCAAGGGTGCTGCCCACCTTGTTGTAGTATCTCAGGTGCACTGTGTGCCAGTGTCCATCACTCAGACCCCCTGGGACTGTGGGGCTGACCACCGTGCTGGACTCACCTGTGAGGGGACATGTGTGGAGCTTGCTCCTGGTCCCGTAGGTGCAGCTACTTCCAGGGCTACCCTGCATGCAGTCGGAGCACTGGACCCACTTGCCCACCCACTTGTGACCACCCTGGGACCACAGATAGGAAAAGCACACATTCCTTGGCTGGCGGGATGGACCCTTGCACGGGATGTGGCCTCGGCGCAGTCAAAACTGTCTATTAGGTGTGCGATGGGGTAAGTCCGTGGGACAACGGGGGCGGGGGTGGTGGTGCAGAAGAGCACCCCAAAGCCAACCCCACACTTACATGGACCCACTCACCCCACGTACACCCACCCCAAACAGCCAGCACACCCGCCTCTGCAGCACGCACCTGTGGAATAGGTGAGCCGCACTTGGCCGGCCACCAGCTCCAAGGCCAGGAAGTCATGCTTCTCGTTCAGGCGGCCATTGTAGAAGAGCAGCCCGCTGGGCTGCACCGTGGCGAACCTGGAGGGCGAGGGCAGGGCGTCAGGAGCCGGATCCCACCTCGCACCCCCACCACCCCATGTGACAAGAAGGTTCGCGGGACGCCGCCCAGGCTGCGGGGTGAGAACGGTGTAGTCACAGGGAGGGGCATCAGAGGAGGGGTGGGCGGTGTCTGATGGGAGTGTCAGCATGGGGCATTTAGGATGCTGGGTCCGGACGGAGCGTCCGGACAGGCACGCTCCGAGACGCGGGGCGGGCACCTACGAGAGGGACAGCGTGAGGTGGAAGCGCTGCCGCAGGCCGCGAAACATGACGAAGGAACTGGGCGGGAAGGAGCGAGCCGCGACCTCGCAGCGGGGACCCTCGAAGGCGCCGCCCGCTGGGCACTGGCAGCGGAAGCCGCCGCCTGGCGCGTCTGCACAAGTGCCCCCGTTGCGGCAGACGCCGGGCACGCAGCGTCCGGCCTCGGTGTCCAGCTCGCAGTCTTCTCCTGGGGGCCAAGCTGCGGTCAGAGGCGATCGCGGCCCCGCCCCGCCCATGCTTCAGCAAGCCCTGCCCCTCCGAGACCACGCCCCCGGAAAGGGCGCGCGCTCATTGGATCCCGTCCCTGGCCACACCCTGCGGTGCGGCCCGCTGACCACCACGCCTCCTGCGCAGCCGGCTGCTTCCCAGCCTACGCGCGCTCCCAGCTGAGGTCTCCGGGCGCCCCCGCCGTCCCGGCCGGCCAAACAGCGGCGCCCCGTCCCCCCCGAACCCCCGGCTTGGCCCGGCCCTGCTCCCCGCGGCCAGCTCACCGGTGAAGCGCGGGCGGCAGACGCAGGTGTAGCCGCCCTCGCGCCGCGCGCAGGCGCCGCCGTTGCGACAGGGGTTCGAGTAGCAGAGGTCGAGCTCGGTCTCGCAAAAGTCGCCGGTGAAGCCCGGTGGGCAGCGGCAGCGTAGGCCGGCGATGGGCTGGATGGGGCGGAAGAGCGTGGAGGCCGAGGCCAGGAAGGGCGCGGACGAGTCGAAGCGCAGCACCGACACGCACTTCATGTAGTTCTCACAGGGCTCGCGCAGGCACACGTTGTCGTCGAAGGGCAGCACGTCGAGCAGCGAGCGGGCGGCCAGCGAGGCGCGGCGCACGTACAGCTGCTCCTGCAGCTCCTCCGAGCTGAACCAGGGCCCCGCCGCGCCCGCCGCGGCCCTGCGCGGGGCCAGCGCCGAGAAGCTCACGTTGAGCACCGTGCCCCCCACGTCCGTGTCATTCTGGATGTTGAAGATGAAGACGTCCTCGGTGGGGGTGGCGAGAACGGCGGCCACCCCTTCGAGGAAGTGGCCCAGCAGTGGCGACAGGAAGCGTTCCTGCCACATGTTTTCCAGGCGCACCGTCAAGCTGTTGGCCAGCAACTCCTCCGTGATGATGATGACGCGCAGCACGCACTGTGCTGTTACGCTGTGCAGGCCATCTGTGGGCAGGGCAAGTGCAAGATCAGCCACGGATCGGATCAGTCGCTGCCGCTACTTGGGGCAGAAGGCTGGGGCCGATGACCACACAATCCCCCTGCACTAAGGAATCAGCAGGCTGATCCACCCCACCAGGACCCAAGAGGATGTAAGACTAGTGCCCATCAGCTCCTCCGCCATCAAGGTATCACCAAGCTGCTACTTCCAACCCCTGAACAAGGAGGGTCTCCACCAGAGGAACCAACCCAGGGGCACCCAGGAGCCAAAATGTCACTCCCCAACACACACAGGAAGGCCATTGATCCACCTCCCGGGAAACTCAGCAGACCACACCCCCTCAGGAGCCAGGCCCTTCAGCTGTGGGTTCCCCTCACCTCCTAGCATAGCAGAACCACCCAAACCCCCTTCCAAGAAACAAGGAGGGTGCCAGGTCAGGAACCGTCCACATCTTCTCTCTCAGGGGACCCTGACCCAGTGACCACTACTGTCCCCCAGAACCCTGGGTCACAAGCTCTCTTCCTCCAGGAGAGTGTTGGACTACTGGTCTCCCTTCACCCCAATATTCATGGTTTAGCAAGAGGCTGGGGTGCTGGGATTTCAGTGACCACTCCAAGAAATGAGGGGTGAGGCATGTATCTGCCATGTTCCCCTTGTCCCCAGCCCATGCCCCTCAGTGGGTGGTCCGTAGGGGCTTGGGGTTGGGTAAAGGAAGACCGCACCTTCTCTGGCAAGGCCAGGAGTCTTTGCTCCACACGCGGGGAGAGTGAGCACTGGGGGAGCGAAGTTGGCCCCTCACCTCTGCAGGCCCCAAGAGGCAGTGTGAGAGCCCCTCCAGCCTGCAATGTCCCATGAAGGAGGGGTGACCTCTTGGAGCAGTGGAGGCAGGAAGGAAGTAGATGGACCCCCAGCCACTTTTTAAAGGACAGAACCTTGTCCAGCCCTTGAAACAGCAGCCAGGCCAAAGGTGGGCCCATTCTCTGCTGGCAGCTGCCAGGGTAAGCTGCAGTTCCTGATCACCAAACTATTGAACTCCCTTTCCTGCACAGATGGAGGACCAGACTGGACCGCAAGTGGTCCTTCATCTGAGCAGGGATGTGATTTGGCCTGACTAGCCTATGCTGGCTTTGCCTGGGAACCCCAGGGCACTACCCTAAGGCCTTTCTAAGAAGCCTTTCTGGGGTGGGGGCTTGTCCCTGAGTGTGGCAGATAATTCTCTACGGTCTTTATGGGGACTGTTAGATGCCCTGGAATCTTTGGGGCTCTCTGGCGACTTCCTGAGAATCTAAGCAGCCCCTGGGTGGCCTATGGCAGATCCCATGGGGCGCGGAGATGAAACACTGGAGGTATTCTTGGGAGGTTTGGGGTACTCTGTGGAGCCTCTGAGGCTGACAGATTGGGGTTACTGGGTTCCTCACCTGCTGTCTGCCCCCTCACCTGTGACAGTCACCAACATGGAGGCCACCAGCGGGCGGTTGTTGTCCAGCTTTCGGCTGAGCCGCAGCTCCCCGCTGGTCTGGTTGACCACTAGCAGCTGCAGCTCATTGCCACGGTCAAAGGAATAGAAGAGGCGGTCGGAGACGTCAGGATCATAAGCCGGGATGCGGCCGATGATGCCTGAGGGGAAGGTGTCTGAGCGGTTGGAAACATAGTTGTTGAAGAGGATCTGGAAGTTATTGAGCACAGGGCTGTTGTCATTCTGGTCAACCAGGCGGATGTGCACAGTGGCCCGGCTGACCAGAGGGGCAGATGTGGCCTGCACCACAATCACATATTCCTGCCGAGCCTCGTAATCCAGGTCAATGAGTGCCGTCAGCTCTCCAGAGAAGATGTCCATTTGGAACAGCTCAGGGATATTCCCCTCCACTATCTGGTACATGATGTGGGCATTGGGGCCTTCATCAGGGTCTACTGCAGTGATCTGGGCCACCACCGAGCCCACAACACTGTTCTCCTTCACCCGCACCTCAAACTCCTCAGCTGGGAAGACGGGTGCATTGTCGTTCACATCCTGCACTGTGACCTGGATGCTGACTGGAGTCCGAAGCGGAGGTACACCCCGGTCCACCGCATAGGCAGTCAGCTCATACACTGGCACTGCCTCCCTGTCCAGTCTCCTGACCGTGCGCACAATGCCAGAGGTGGGCTCGATGGTGAAATCCCCATCCCCATCTTCCCCGTTCTGGAAAGTGTACTGTACTCGGCCATTGGCGTGAGCATCCCGGTCGGTGGCTGAGATCTGCAACACACTGGTGAAAGGCGGAGCATCCTCGGAGACCAGACCTGGGTAGTGGGAGGCCACAAACTGTGGGGCATTGTCATTCACGTCGTTGACCATCACCTCCACGTAAGTGGTATCTGCCTTCTGTGGGATGCCGTTGTCTCTAGCTGTGATGGCCAGTGTGTAGGTCACCTGGTCCTCGTAGTCCAGGGGGGCCTGCAGTGTAATGGCCCCCGAGTCTGCATCAATGCGGAACTGGGGCAAGTTGTCCTCCAGGAGGTAGGTGATACGCGCATTCTCACCCACATCATCGTCAGATGCGCTGATGACCACCACGGTACTGCCCACTGGACGGTCCTCGTTCACATTCACGGAGTAGTGGGCACTTTGAAAGACAGGCCGATGGGTGTTGGCGTCTGTGATGTTGATGTGCACGTAACAGTGGTCATGCAGAGCGCGGTCCGAAGCGGTCAGCACCAGCTTGAAGTAGCGCTCCTGCTTATAGTCCAGTGGCAGAGCCAGTGTCACCAGACCCACGCCCCCCTGAGTGCTGATGGCAAAGCGGTTCCGGGTATTGCCCCCTGTGATCTGGTAGCTGATGGCACTGTTGGCATCGCGGTCTACAGCGGTCACGCTGACCACGCTGGTGCCTACAGTCGCGTCCTCATTCAGGCGGAGGTGGTACTCCTTCAGGGTGAACTCGGGCCGGTTGTCATTAACATCCAACACCGTCACGGTGACACTGGCTGAGGCGGAGAGTGGGGGTGAGCCATGGTCTCGTGCCTCCACACCGAAGAAGTAGTGCTCGACAGACTCCCGGTCCAGAGGGCCACTCACAGAGACCCAGCCCGTGGCACTGTTTATCACAAAGGGGGTATCTGGTGCCATGCCGGTTAAGGAGTACTCCAATCGGGCATTCTCCCCATGGTCAGCATCCACTGCCTGAATGTGAATGACAGAGTGGCCCAGGGGTGCATTCTCCAGGACCGAGACCTGGAAGGGTGTGCTGACGAAGATAGGCATGTGGTCATTGATGTCCACTACCTGGATGCTGGCCAGGCCTGTGTTGTTGGACAGTGGCGGCCGACCCGCGTCCTGTGCCCGGATGCGCAAGGCGTACTCTCGCTCTGCCTCAAAGTCCAAAGGCGCCACAACCTGGATCTCTCCAGTGAGGCTGTCGATGGAGAAGTGGCCTCGGCTGTTGCCACTGATGATATTGTAATGCACCAGTCCATTGGCGTCCTTATCCCTGTCGGTGGCCGTGACACGCAGTACCACCGTGTGGGGGCGCACATCCTCGCGCACCTGAGCCACGTACCGCTTCTCACTGAACTGGGGGGCGTTGTCATTCTCGTCCAGCACGGTTATGTGCACACGCACCGTGGCTGAGCGTGGCCCTGGCTCCTGACCCTGGTCGCTGGCTTCCACCACCAGCTCGTAGCTCTCCATATGCTCGCGGTCCACGCCGCCACTGGTGCTGATGAGGCCGGAGCGCGGGTCAATCTCGAAGGCGGCGGCGGCGGCAGCGCGCGCAGCTGGCGTCCCCACGAAGCGGTAGCGCAGGTTGGCGTTGGGAGGCGCGTCGCCGTCCGTGGCACGCAACTGCAGGATGGGGTAGCCCTCTTCCACGTTCTCACGAAGTGTCTCCCGGTACTGCGCCTGCTCAAACACCGGCGCGTGGTCGTTACGGTCAACCACTGTGACAGCCACCATGGTGGTAGTGGAGAGGCGAGGGGAGCCGTGGTCCTGTGCGGTAACGCGCAGATAGTGGCGCTCCATGCTCTCCCGGTCCAGCGCTGCCGCCGTGCGGATGAGGCCGCTGTGCGGGTCGATGCTGAACAGCTCCAGGGAGCGGCTGTTCATGAGCGCCGCCAGCGAATAGACCACGCGCCCAGCCTCGCCGGAGTCCGGGTCCTGCGCCACCACGCGTAGCACTGAGGTGCCCGCCGCTTCATTCTCGGGCACCAGTGCCTGGTAGTTGTACTGCGGGAACTGCGGGTGGCGGTTTGCGGCGCGACGGGGGCGTGCCTGAGTCGCGGGGGCTACTCGCCGAGCTCCTGGCTCGCCTCCGACCCCGGGAGGGCGCGGCCCGGGGCGTTGCGGGAGAAAGCGGCGGCGCCGGCGGCGGCGGCGGAGCCCGCGGGGGCGCATGCGCTGGGGCGCCGGCTCGGGAGCTGTCCGAGACTCGCGCGGTGCTGAACCCGGCCCAGGAGCTGTCCTCGCCGTGCGCGGTGCTGAACCTGACCCTGAGGTTTGCGGAGGGCAGCCTAGCCGCGAGGCTGTCCTCTCTGCTCGGAATGTCGCAGCTCGCTCGCTCTGACCCCGACGCCCCAGCGCCCACAGTTCCCCACAGCAGTGTGCGGTTCCCACCCTTTTGCGGGAGCCTCTCTCAGCGTTCCGCTGGAACGACACCAGCCTGGAGCCATACGGCCGAGCCAGAAGGTCCAAAGGGAGGGCCGAGCTGTCCTCCGGGCCCAGCACTCCAGGAGTCAGAGCCTCCGGCGACAGTGCGTCTCTCTGTGCGGGGCCTGCCCTCCTGCCACAGGAAACCTCAGGGCGCCAGCATAACGGGGACCCGGGTGCCCGTCCTGTCTCTGGCCCGCGGTCGTCCAATGCCTTGGCCTCGTGCTCAACCCCCGGCGCCGGGCCTGAATGCTCAGGAGGCTCTCGAGCGCTCCGGCCGTGTTTCCGTCCCCCTCCCAGCCCCACGAAGACGGGTCCCCTGACTCCCAAGCCAGGCTCCCCATCCTCTCGGACGTTGGGCGACTCGGGACAAAGAGCGAAGGCTCCGCCGCCGCTCCGCACCCAGGGCCCGGTAGCGGCAGC